AGCAAGGTTGGGTTTGTTTCTTAATCAGGCTGCAACTCTGTGTCTTTTTATTGAAGAGTTTAGTCATTTACATTAGAGTTAATATTGATATGTTAACATCTGTATTTGCCATTGTGTTTGTCTTTCCTTTGATTTTATTTTTTATTCTTTTAATAACTTTTTTTTTTTTTTTTGGCTTTTTCATTGTTATTTCGTCGCTCTGAGGTTCTGGCTTTAGGACTCCTTGTAGTATTTTTTGGAGTGGGGGTTTAGTTGCAATGAAATTCCGGAGTTTCTGTTTGTCTGGGAAGGTCCCTATTTCTTTCTTCAAAGAGGAAGGAGAGCTTTGCGCGGATAGAGTATTCTTGGTTGGCATCTGTTTTCTTGGAGTCTGTTGACTATGTCCCTCCACTCTCTCCTTGCCCGTAGTGTTTCTTCGGAGAAGTCTGATGTCAGCCTGATTGGTTTTCCTTTGAATGTTATCTGTTTCTTCCCTCTTGCCAGCTTCATTATTTTTTCCTTGTCCTGGATTCTTGGGAGCTTTACTATTATGTGTCTTGCTGTATTTTTCCTTTCGTCGTGGAAGTTTGGTGTTCTTCTTGCTTCTTGTATATCATTTTCAGCTCCTTCTTCACATTTGGGAAGTTCTCTTTCAATTATCTCTTTGAATATTTTCTCTGTTCCTACATCTCTCTCCTCTCCTTCTGGTATTCCTATAACTCTTATATTTCCTTTCCTCATGGAGTCCGATAGTTCCCGAAGTCTTTCTTCGTTCTTTTCCTTCGTACTTCTCTTTCCTTCTCTGTTTTGGTTCTTTTTTATTTCTGTGTCTTCAAGATTACTTATTCGTTCTTCCATTTCATCTATTCTGCTTTCATTGCTTTTCCCAGAATTCTTTAGTTCTTCCATTAATTCTTTGATCTCCTGCATTTCTTTTACTTCCTCTTTAGGGACTCAATTTCTTTCTTCTGACCATTGTTTTCCCTCTCTAGGGACTCAATTGCATTCTTCTGATCGTTGATTATTTTTCCCTTATCATTGTTTTCCTTTATGACTTCTGTCAGTTTTTTAATCACGGCAATTTTAAATTCTCTTTCTGGAAGGCTCAGAAATTCTTCAAGTTATTGTCGTTGCAATCTGGGGGCTGGCTTTCTTTTTGTGGTGTGCTTTTTCTCTGGAGAGTTGCTAGGTTGCGTGTGGTTCTTCTCCTCCTACTGGTGTTTTCTAATTTGCCGTATGCGTTGGGACACTGTGTTGTTGGGACTTGCCGGCATCTTGGGTGGGCTTCTCTGTTCCCCTCTGGTTTTTCCAGGAGTCATCTGTCAGTTTCAAGCAGCCTTTACTGGAGAAAGGTCCCTGTTCTAAAATGCCGATGTGGGGACACCTCCCTGTGCGCCTGGTCTGCCCCGGCGGTGGGTTCCTGCTCCCTCTGGGCTTGGACTGCAGGCCAGAGGGGGTCTGGCGTGGGCGAACTTCCCCCGCTCACCTCTGGCTCCTGAGGAAGCCTTCTGCAGGTAGTCTTTACTGAAGAAATGTCCCTGTTCTAAAATGGTGATGTGGGACACACTCCCTGCGCTTCTGGTCTCAGCACACTATCTGCGCGCTGGTCTGCCCCGGCTGTGGGTGCTCGCTCTCCCTGTGGGCTCAGACTACTTGTTCAGAAGGGGCCCGGTGTGGGCTAACTCCCCAGCTGGCCACTAGCTCCTTCAGTAGCCGTGCTGGGGTCAAGTCGCTAGGTGGCACCAGAGATCTCTCGTAGAGCCCTTGGGGAGCTGATTTTCCACCCCGTGGGACAGGGAGCAGAGCGGGGATGGTAGGGTACACCTCAACGGCTTTGGGGTGCTGTGTCTGCCTTGTGCCCCACCGTCGTGGGGAACCCACGCCCCTAATTTCGTGCCCGGGTCTCAGTTCAAAGCCCTCAGTTCCAGGACGCGGGCTGTAGCCCAGATCAGTGGCGCGGGAATGGGCGCCTTTTGAATCCCGCTCCCCTGCCTGGGCGCCTTGTTCCTGCTCACTCAGGGAGGGCCTCCGCCGGGTCTCAGTTCCAAAGCCCTCAGTTCCAGGACGCGGGCTGTAGCCAGATCAGTGGCGTGGGAATGGCGCCTTTTTGAATCCCGCTCCCCTGCCTGGGCGCCTTGTTCCTGCTCACTCAGGGAGGGCCTCCGCCCGGGTCTCAGTTCAAAGCCCTCAGTTTCAGGATGCGGGCTGTAGCCCAGATCAGTGGCGCGGGAATGGGCTTTTGAATCCCGCTCCCTGCCTGGGCGCCTTGTTCCTGCTCACTCAGGGAGGGCCTCCGCCCGGGTCTCAGTTCCAAAGCCCTCAGTTCCAGGACGCGGGCTATAGCCCAGATCAGTGGCGCGGGAATGGCGCCTTTTGAATCCCGCTCCCCTGCCTGGGCACCTTGTTCCTGCTCACTCAGGGAGGGCCTCCGCCGCGTCTCCGCAAGCCTAGGTCGCAGGCGCAGGGCCTGGGCAGCTGCAATCCGAGCGCGCTTTCGCGCAAGCTTACCGGGCGGCTGGGGCTGTGTGCTGGGGCTGGGCTCCTCCTGGGGGGCGGGGCTCTCTTTACTGGCGCCTGGAGCTCACCTCAGCGGCGGATCCTGCAGGGTTCGCCTCAGCTCCCGTTCACGGGTGTGGTGGCTGAAATAGTTCCTTTCCACTCACAGTCCCACTTGCTGCATCCGTTTTTCTTGTTGGGCGTTTTGGTTTGTTGTTTCCCTCGTCTCTGCCGGTGGGAGAGTGCCGCCTCTGTGGGGGGGGAGGGGAGGCAGGTTCTGCGCTACCCTCCCTTCTCGTCCTCTTTTATGGCAACTTTCTTCTTCGGCAGTTTGCTGGAGTCGTCCGTTTATCTTCCCTGTCTCAGTTCTCACTGGGACCTGCCGCTTTTCCTCCCTATTAACTTTTTTTAATGGGAGATCTTACTCGCAGCGTCTCCTCGCCGCCATGTTGCTCCGCCCCTCCATTATTATTACTTTAGTTCATGATTGAATTTTAATTTAAATGTGAACACCTCAATGAGATTTTGAATGTTTTAAACAACATTGCCTTATAATATGCCACTGAAAGCAAAACTTTTAACCAGTAGTTACCACCACATACCTAATGTTTTTTGGAAGCAGAAGCTCAAAACTTACTCAAGAAGGTCAATGAAAGTCATCTTAAGAGAGTCAGGTAATAAAAATTTACCAAATTGAATACATGATAGGATCTTCAGAAATGAGAGATTAATAGGACCCATTTGTAGCCCACACAGGAGTATTCTACAAACTGGTGCTAGGAACAGAAAGAGTTCACCTGTAGGCTTCAACTACTTGCTATTTCTCCCTCTCATACACACCCTTACATGTACATTTTCATTTGAAGAATGTAAGTAGAACCATATAATATATCCTTGATTAGAGCCTAAATCTCTTTTCTGGGATTGGCTCTCCAGTCTGCATTTTCCTAGACTTTTTGACTCCCTGCTCTAGGCTTTTTTTTTTTTTTTTAAAGATTGATTGATTTATTTATACAAGTACTGGGTACAGTCAGATGCGTGGGAGGGTGAGAGAATTCACCAGAGCCAGAGCGCAGAGCAGGGCAGGCAGACTGACAAAGAAATACACTGCTGAGGGGAGCAGCGGGCATGGCAGAAGAGGTCTGTCACACTATGTGGGACCCTCGCTTGTGACCGGGGATTGAACCGGCGCTGGAAAGGCTGCAGGCATCTTTGCAGCCCAGCGCTCAAGCGCTGCACCACCAGGGGAGGCCCTGCTCTAGGCTCTTGAAGCTAACCTCTGAGATGTCAGATAAAGCAAAAGACAGGTTGGGCTACTCTACTGTGTCAACAAAGACCTTGGCTAACCCTTCAAGTCACTCTGATACTGGAATGACCTATTAGAATTCTCCTAAGTTGCTATAAAGAGTCTGAGACTTTACACGCCTCTTTTTTCAGTTTTGGAGCCATGCTTTCTTTTGAAAGGATGCATAGCCTTTCACTTGAGGATATTTCCCAAAGTGGGCTTAACAGCAGAGTGTTATAAGCCAGAGCACTTTGAGCATCTGGGCAAAAAAGTTCTTCAATACTGTTTGGCAGCGCATCACATCCATTATACCACTATACCTCTTTCTATAAATGCTTTGAAAGTAGCACATATAATTATACTGAAAAGTCTAAGAGGCAACTCTGGAAGCCAGTTTGTTCCTTATAAAATTAAACATACATTTATAATGCAACCCAGTAAATACACTTTTGGGTATAGTAACTTAGATGAATTAAAACTTAAATATATATATTAATGTTCAGAGCAACTTATTTGTAATAATTGCAAACTGGAAAAAATTCAGATGTCCTTCAGTAAGTGATTGGATAAACAAACTGTAGTATATCCATATAAGTAGAATACTGCATAATAATTCAAAAACTATTTATATAAGCCACATAGATGAAAAACAGTTCATTTTAGTATAAAAGTTTCTCAAAAGGTTATATATTGTTCAAATGACAATATATGTATTCTTTAAATGACACAATTGTTGTAATATAAAACACATCAGTGATTGCTAGGGATTAGTTAAAGTTGGGCATGGAGTACATAAATATAAAGAAAAGACATGAGGGCGTTTATTATAATGTAACAGTTCTGTATTTATATTTTTAGTGGTGATTACATTAATCTATGCATATGATAAAATTCCACAGCACTGTACACACACACTCATAATCACATATTAAAACTATTGAAATGTGATTAAGTTGATAATATACCAATGTCAGTTTCTTGATTTTGATAATGTGGCTTTGTGTAAGATTGAAGAAAGTTTGTTGGAAGCTGCAAGGGAATTTTCTGTGCTAACTGCAAATTCTGTTGAATCTTAAATTGTTTTGTAAAAAAATGTAAAAAAACTGTCACTATTTGTCCAACATAATGTCTTATCATTGGCAATATTACTTAAAGGGAGGTGCAGTCCAAGAAAAATAGTAAGAAAGTATCTTCAATCAGCAAATATTGATTGAATATTTTCTCTGTTCCAGGCTAAAGTCTGGGTATATATGCAATGATAGTACTATAACATTTATATGTACTTTTCCCCCCAAAATACAAATAAGTTTATGTACTGTGTCTTTCTTAGAATCTTATCGTCTTTATTGTAAAATTAAATAATTGTCTTTTTTTCTTTAACACAATGGTAACTTTATATTTAAGTGTAAATTTGTTCTTTTTGGTGTATGTATGCAGTTTAGTTTATTTAATATTTGCTATCTTAGGTATTTGCTTGTGTGTTTTGCTTTGCTTTAGTTATTATCTTTAGTTTGAAATAATATTAATAGCTGCTGTGTATCCTACCATGGTTAGGGAAACATAAATAACTAGTATCCAAACAGAGTTTTTTGGTTTATTTCTTTTAAAGGGAGCCATAGATATTATTTTACAATTTTTCTCACCTATTAAAAATATCATGGATATCACTCCAGTCATTAGAAGTCTGACCCTTTCTTCAATAATATCATATCTCATGGTCATAAATTTTTCCCTATTATCCTAGTAGTTATTCAGGCTACTTCATTGTTTTGCCACTACACACAGTGCTATACTCAAAGTACTTCTAAATTTATGTATTATTCTTGATTGTTTGTACATTCTTATATATTGGAGATTATATTTTTATAACGTAGATTTGCCAAAACAGGATTGTGTGGTTAATGGGAATGTATATTTTCAGTTTTAATGAATATTACCAGATCCTTTTTCAAGAAGTTTGGTCTAATCACACCAATATTGAGTGCCCACTTCTCTGCCTCTCCAGTCCTGGATATTATTGTGGCTTTTAATTTTGACCAATGATGAAAAATGCTATTTCATTATTATTGAAATTTGTTTTTCTCTGACCCCAAATTTGAGTATATTTTATGTATGTGTTTTCCCTTTGCATCTTCTGTTTTGTAAATTCCCTGTTTATATCCTCTCATTTTCATCCTTTTTTACTTTTTCTTTTTTAATTTTTATCAGCTTTTTGTATACGAGGGATATTTTCCCAGTGTGGGATTTGTCTCTTAATCTGTTTATGAAATACTGTCACATTTTCTTTTACTCAAATATGTCTTTTCCCATAAGCCTGTTATATGTTTTTCCTATCTTGTAAAATAGTTTTTCACTCCAAATTATCAATACTGGTCTAGATTTTTTTTTGCATACTTTTATTATCTTACTGTTTGATACTTGTTTTTTGTATGATATAAAATTGAGCAGTGTATGTGCTTTCTTTCCTAGCTGGTTAGCTGTTTTTGACAATGTTGTTATTGAAAATTCTGTTTGTGATATTAATTTGAATTTGGTGTGAACTGTCTCTTGGAGTGTCAATACTGAAGTGTTTTGATTATAGTACCTTTATAAGAAGTGATAGGATCTGGTAAAAAAAAAAAAACCCAGTTTACACATTTATTCTTCTATATAGAGTGACATCAAAATATCCTTTGTTTATTTATAAAGATCTATATCATTGCAGACTTTATAAAGAGATTTATGCTCCATCAGGTATGATAAATTATAATAATTATGATAAATCATTTAAAATTTTATTCTATTCTGTTCTTATGTACACTTTAGTGGCTACTGTTGTAGTAACAGATTCAGAGACATTTGCAGTGGCAAGCGATCTTCTGGGACCCTTTGAAACAATGAATGGCACACCTTTTCATGTAATGAGATATAAAAGAGTTTCGTTGGATATGAATGAGTTTTCTTTTTCAAGAAGTAAATAATGATTCTGCATACTGAGGGAAAAGATTTGTTTTGTATGTTGAGGTACAGAATTTGTATGCTTTTAACTCAAATCATTTTTTATCTTTGTATTTAGAAGCGATTATTGGAAGCTATGGAAGCATGTAACCACTCCCTCAAAAAAGAGGAGAGGAAAAGAAACCAACATAGTGAATGCCTAATGTGCTGGTATGATAGAGACACAGCATTTTCCTATCCCTCTCCATGGCCAGAAAAGTTCCCTGCCATAGAACATTGTTGCACAAGGTAATGTTATTTGATAACTTTTCAACAAAGAGCATCCCTATGACCAATAATAATAATTATTATTATCCCTATGACCAACAGTGTTTTTCAGTGTTTATTTAGAGAATTAGCAAATTATTTATGACAGTTATAGTCAATAATTACAGAGTTTATATCCAATTTGCCAAGGGTCATAATGTCTCTCTTAAAATTAGAGAATTCTCTAATTCTCTGCTTTGTCAAATTATGCCTCTTTCTATTTTCTTTTAGTGTTATTTTTTCATTTTTACTCCCTAGTATATCTCTGTACTCTCTTTCAAGAGGATATGTGAATTGTTATTTTTCTTGCTAATGATTGCTCCAACAGTTATTTGACATGTTCTGACTTTACCTCATACACTCAACTACCTAGCTAGAAAGAAGAAATTAGGAAATAAAAGAACTCTGCTTTCTTGGCTCAAAACATTTCTACTTCCTCTTTCTTATTAAAATGTCTCCATATGTTTTTCTTTTCTCTCACCTTCTGTAAAAATAACTTATCCAGATAGCAGTTGAGTTGCAGATGAAAAGAACGTCTCACTTATGATTTTCCCTTTTGTTAAAGCAAAGAGAAACATGAAATAGATATTGCAAAATATTTATTTTCCATTCTGGGTTAAAACATGGAGGATACAAAGAAATGGAGGATACAAAGACACAAAGAAATGGAGAGACATCCCCTGCTCATGGATTGGAAGAATAAACATTATTAAAATGGCCATCCTTCCAAAAGCAATATACAGATTCAATGCTATTCCAATCAAAATTTCAATGTCATTCTTCAAAGAAATAGAAAAATTATTGATGAAATTCATATGGAATCACAAAAAACCCCGAATAGCCAAAGCTCTCCTGAAAAAAAAAGAAGGGAATGGAGGCATCAGACTCCCAGACTTCAAACTATACTACAAAGCCATAATCATCAAAACTGCATGGTATTGGAACAAGAACAGACATACAGACCAATGGAATCGAATAGAAAATCCAGAAATAAACCCACAGATTTATGGTCAACTAATCTTTGACAAAGGAGCAAAGAATATGCATTGGAGCAAAGAAAGTTTGTTCAATAAATGGTGCTGGGAAAACTGGGTCGCTACATGCAAAAGAATGAAGCTTGACCACCACCTCACACCATACACAAAAATCAACTCAAAATGGATTAAAGAACTAGACATAAGACCTGAAACCATAAAATATATAGAAGGAAATATAGGCGAAACACTACGTGATTTGCACATCAAAGACATCTTTACAGACACATCACCCAAAGCAGTGATAGTGAAGGCAAAGATAAACAGCTGGGACTATATCAAATTAAAGAGCTTTTGCACAGCAAAAGAGACAATAACAAAAACAAAGAGAAACCCCACCAACTGGGAGAACATTTTTGCACCCAACACTAATGATAAAGGACTGATCACAAAAATCTGCAAAGAGCTGATGAGACTCAACAACAACAAAGAAAATAATCCAGTCAAAAAATGGGCAGAAGAGCTTAAAAGAAACTTCTCTGAAGAGGAAATGCAAATGGCCAACAGGCATATGAAAAAATGTTCAACATCACTTGTCATCAGGGAAATGCAAATCAAAACTACCATGAGATACCATCTTACACCAGTGAGAATGGCACATATTAAAAAAACTAGCAACAACAAATGTTGGCGAGGGTGTGGAGAAAAAGGAACTCTTCTGCACTGTTGGTGGGAGTGCAAACTGGTCCAACCACTGTGGAAAGCTGTGTGGAGATTTCTGGACCTACTAAACATAGAGCTTCCATATGACCCAGCAATTCCACTCCTAGGTATTTACCCAAAGGACACAGAAACATCAATTCCAAAGAACACCTGCACCCCTATGTTTATAGCAGCACTGTTTACAATAGCTAAGCTTTGGAAACAACCCAAATGCCCAAAAATAGATGACTGGATCAAGAAGATGTGGTACATATATACCATGGAATATTACTCAGCATTCAAAAAAGATAAACACATGCAATTTGCTGCAACATGGATGGCGCTGGAAGGGATCATGCTCAGCGAAATAAGCCAAAAAGAAAAAGAAAAATACCGGATGGTCTCACTCATAGCAGGAATCTAGAAAACTTAAATAATGGACCAGGAAAATGAAAAACTATAAGAAAGTGAAAATCAAAATCAACAAAAAACTATGAACCAGAGACACTTTTAGGGGGGCGGGGGCGGGAGGGGAGGGATTGGGGTCAGAATGGGGGGCGGCAATTGTATGGGGAATATAACAATAAAATTTATAAAAAAAAAAAAAAAAATAAGGGACCAGGAAAATGAATAACTATAAGAAAGTGAAAATCAGAATCAACAAAAAACTATGAAACAGAGACATTTTTTTGGGGGTGGGGGGGGAGGGGAGGGATTGGGATCAGAATGGGGAGTTGCAATTGTATGGGGAATATAAAAATAAAATTTATTATTAAAAAAAAAAAAAAAAAAAAAAACGGAGGATATGGAGATTTGTAATAAGCTTTATACAGTCCTTTATTATAAAATTATATATCATTTTGTTTTAAATTAATGGGGAAAACTTCAACTCAGTAACCTACAGGCATGATTTTGAAAGGACCAATAAAAACAGAGAATCTCAGTTGTCTTGCTTTTTCTTTTCTTTGTTTTAAATGATAATATTGTCATCCCCTGTTAAAAGCAAGGATCACTCTTGCAAAATATTCAAGGAAGTGCTGAAAAGCTCTGATTGCTGGCATGAATTTTAAATTAATTGTCTCAATTTATTTTGTAGGTATAAAATAATATCATTAGATGCTTGGCGTGTTGACATAAGCAACAACAAAATAACCAAGGTTGACCAGAAAGCATTATATTTCTGTGGATTTCCTACTCTGAAACACATCAAACACAAAGTCAGTGGTTATTTAGTTCATAATTTTTTTACTTTATTGAATGTGAAGTAATTATGGACAAAGAGTTAAAATTAAATTTTCTGAATTCTTTTAAAGTTTTTTTTGAAGAAAAGTGGGGTTCAAGTATTCCAGCAAAGCAGTCGTGGAGAAAACATGATGTTGGAAATCTTAGTGAATATAGACTCAGATGAACTTGTAAGTATTTTATTTATTGTGTCTTTATTACATGTTTATTAGGTGTAAAATTATTGTAGCTGCAATGTATTCACCAAAGAGGCATAATATGCATTAACTCCAAAAGTTAATAATAAATAAGGATAACATTTGTAATATTTACACAAATTACATGTATAATTGTGACGTAATCAGCAAAAAGAAACTGAAAAAGAGATGAGTTATGTGAGCTAAAGACTAAAGTACATACCTCTGGATGAGAATAGAATGGAGCTGGTTGCTAAATAAGATGTATGGACAGGGCCTCCCTGGTGGCGCAGTGATTGAGTGTTGGGTTGCGAAGCTGCCCGCAGCCTCTGCAGTGCCGGTTCGATCCCCGGCCGCTGGGTGAGGGTCCCACATGGCGCGCAGACCTCTCCTGCCGCCCGCTGCTCCCCTCAGCAGTGTACTTCGGTCCTTCTGCCTGCTCTGCTCCCCGCTCTGGCTCTGGTGAATTCTCTCACCCTCCCGCACTTCTGACTGTACCCAGTGCTTATATAAATAAATAAATAAATCTAAAAAAAAAAAAAAAATCAATTGTATTTAAAAAAAAAAAAAAAAAAGATGTATGGACAAAGGCGAAAAGGAAGGGAAAGTCATTCTAGTTGAAAGAAATAACATGATCTGGGAATAGTATTTAAAAAATCATTGTATTTATTATCTAATAAAAAAAAAAACAAGCAAAAAAAAAAATAAATTCCTGCTATGAAAAAAAAATAAATAAAAAAATAAAAAATCATTGTAATACTTTATTCCTTTTTGTCTTTTTCATATGTATGAAATTTTTTTTTAAGATTTATTTATTTATTTATATAAGCACTGGGTACAGTCAGAAGTGAAGGAGGTTGAGAGAATTCACCAGAGCCAGAGCGGGGAACAGAACAGGCAGACTGATGAAATACATTGCTGAGGGGAGCAGCGGGCGCGGCAGGAGAGGTCTGTTGCGCCGTGTGGGACCCTCGCTGGTGGCCGGGGATCGAATCGGCACTGTAGAGGCTGCGGGCAGCTTCACAGCCCAGCGCTCAACTGCTGCACCACCAGGAGAGGCCCAGTATGAAATTTTTCTTACACTTTTTCTTTTTTTAGAATGAATGTGATGTATTTGAGCAGAAGGAATAGATAAACTTGACTGAAGCAAAGACTTGTGTTGGAAAACAATGGAAGATAAGGTTGAAAAAACAGATTGAGGCCAGTTTATGGAGGACCTTGAATGCTAGACTAAGAAGTTCGGACTTTTTTTCCATAACTGTTATCTTGAAATGGATATTTTCATAAAGATAATTTGATGACAATATAATTTAATTGCACAAAAGAGAAATGGAAGAAAACAGAAAAACCTACAAATTCAGAGGACGTGGTTGTAGAATCATTAGCGAGTAAAGATGTAACCCATGGAAGTGGTACTAGATGTAGATGACCAAAATGAAATACAATTGACAAGTTTCATCATTTGTTCAAATATAGGGGATGCAAAGAGGGAGCAGACATTAGATATGACTAGGATATGAGGCTAATTAATTAGAAAATAATTGCTATTGACTAGAGAATTTAAAATGGGAAAGTTGCTGGTTTGAGGGAATTAATGACAAATGATGCCATTTTTCAGGTAGTTCTAAGACTTTTAATTGGAACTGGCCTGCTGCCTTTCTCAACAAAGTTTACCTAAGAGATTTAAACCCTAATTACCTAAGACATCCATTTTTTATGACTTTTCTTCTAAGCTTATAAAATGTGCTAATTATGTACCATCTTTGGGAGAATTGAAAATACATAAGTTGTTTTTTTGTACAAATGAGAAAGACTTTCTGTATACAATTTAATACGTATAACTCGAGATGGGAGGGAGAAAGATAAATATAGATATAGATATACAGATATAGATATATGTAATCGACAAAGAGGTAATGACTGTGATACATTGGAGCTCATTTCCTGAATAAAAGGGACTCAGGTTTTAAAGTGGCAGCATGAAGAAAATACCCACAATAATAAAGTGTTGAAATGGAGCAAATAAAAGTGACAGTGATCAAAGATGAGAAAGCCATTCCAGTGTTAAGTAGATTACAAAAGGATGGAATAGGTAGCATGTACTGCATATAGTTAAAAAAAAAAAAATGGCCAGGTTTGTGATTTTTATCCTTTTAAGTATCACTGTTGGTCTTTCAAAAGTCATTCCAATATGTTGGTGGAGGCCAAGTCCACCACTTAAGGATTGGGCTGGGACTTAGATGGAAAACAGAGCAAGTATTAGCCCTTGGTAAGACCTGGGCTTTGAAAAGAAGGCTAGAAACATAACAGTAGGTGAAAAAGAGGCAGCTCATCAAGCAAAATCCATCTAAAGGATGGGAGATACAGCTAATGGATAAAGGTGATCTTAGAGGCACTATAGTGGGAAGGGATGTTTATGATGACAAAACCGTGAGGTAATAAAGGATTTCATCTAGGTCTTAAGTGAAAAGATTAGAATAAAAAATAAGAATGAGGGCCTCCCTGAGGGCACAAGGGGTTAAGCACCGTACTGTCATCCACAGCCTCTGCAGCACAAGTTTGATCCCCTGCTGGCCAGGGAGGTGACCCACATGGCGCAGCAGACCTCGCCTGATTCACCTGCCGCTCCCCTTAGCAGTGTACTTCCATCAATCTGCCTGTTCTGTTCCCCACTCTGTCTCTGGTGAATCCTCTCACCCCTACACACACACACCTCTGGCCTGTACCCCAGCTTTTGTATGCATAAATAAAATATTTAAAAAATAATAAAAAATAAATTAAAAGTAGGAGAATGAAATAGAATAAGGATAATTTAGGGAGGTAAATTCTAGAGTTGAAACCTGTTTTATTTATCAACATAATTATTCTGTTTTGTAGGTTTATGTTAAGAAATGCCTATGTATAATAAATAAAAATAAGTTATCCCCAAAAAGCCTAAGTAAACATTGTTCATACAGTTGCTCTTTCTCACATAAGAAAACTGAGACTAGAGGGATTAAATGATTTGTCTAAGTTTCCATGGTTGAAAGAGCTAAATAGCAAATATGGACCCATGATTCCTAACTTTTAGTCTAGTATTGAGATGTGATTTCTTAGATTCTCTTCTATACTCACTAATAGAAAGCAATGATTTGACCATTTAATGTGATAATAGCCATTTTCTAGACATTTCTGCTAATTTTAATTTTCTCAGTTTCCATGAAAAATACAAGCAAGATATGAAAATAGTAGAACATAGAATTTTATATCTGGATGAAATTTTGTAAAACAACTTATCTAACTTTCATTAATTTTACAAAGTAAAAACCTTAAATGGAGATTGGAAAAGGGACGTACTCATAATCACTCAGTAGTCAGCAGAACTAACAACCTAGGCTTCTTGCTGAACATTTCATAACATTGGCTGTATGGACAGAGGTCAGTTTTATTGTTTCATTTTACTGAAACTTTTCTCAGCACGTAATTTCATTCAAGATTAAAATCAATAGCTATCTTTTACTTATAACTGCTAGTATATTAAGAATGAAGGAGGCAAGCTTCATTGTATCATCGTATTTCTTATTGCCTCTCTAATAAGTTTAAAATCAATAGCTATCTTTTACTTATAACTGCTAGTATATTAAGAATGAAGGAGGCAAGCTTCATTGTATCATCGTATTTCTTATTGCCTCTCTAATAAGTTGGCAGAGCGCAAGATAAACATGGTAAACTTTCACACATTGACATAAAAGGGTGAAGAAAAGCAACTAGAAATTAAAAAACAAAAGTAAAGGAAAAAAAATTAAAAGAACAGAAATTCTAGAAAGTGTTCTGGGAAGGTAAGCATAGCTAGAAATAAAGATATTAAGAAATGATAAATTAAGAAAAGTAACTCATTTTGAGTGGGTGGAATACATTGGAGTAAGGTTGAAAAGAGTAGGAGCTATAGTGAATAATTGCTTTAGTAAGCAAATGATATGTATCTGTTTTAATTAAGGTGGGGTTTTGATAGATATTAAACACAGACAATTTTTTTAAATTATTTAATATTTCCTCTGTAAAGTTTTCCTGTGAACCTAAAATATGGATGAACTTTTCTGCTTTTATTTTAAGAGTGTTGAAAACGTGGCATCATCAGTGCTTGGAAAATCTGTCTTTGTTAATTGGCCTCATCTTGAAGAAGCTAGAGTTGTTGGAGTATCAGATGGAGAAACTAAGTAAGATTTAATTTATAATATGATTAACTTATATTTACTTTGCTACTTAATCCTTTTTATTGATGTTTTTCAAAATTGATTATTATTGTAAAAATATTTGTACTCTATAGTGAAAAGTAAAATCCTCCATAACCACCATTTAAAGGAAAACCACTATTGATAGATTATAACAGTCCTTGATATTATTTTAGATGCCTTTATTATTTTTCCTTCATTTACTTTTAATAGCTTCAAAGTTACCTATCCTAATTGTTTTCCACCACTTATAATATTATTTAGCAAATATATTTCCCTTTCTGACAAAAACAACATATAAATAAATGTAACTTTATCATACCCTCGCAAAATTTCATTTAAATTGTACATTAATTTTAATTTAGCTTCTATTTTTAAAAAGGAAATAACAAAAATTATAGCAGAAATAAATGAAATAGAATCAGAAGACTGTCCAAAAGATAACTGAACCCAAAAGCTGGTTCTTCAAAAAAAAATAAACAAACCTCAAGGTAGTCTTACCAAAACAAGGGAGCAGACTCTAATGAATATAATCAGAAACAAAAGAGAAGTTGCAGGGCCTCCCCGGTGGCGCAGCGGTTGAGCGCTGGGTTGCGAAGCTGCCCGCAGCCTCTGCAGCACCGGTTCAATCCCCGTCCACCAGGCGAGGGTCCCACATGGCGCGCAGACCTCTCCTGCCACTGCAGCTGCTCCCCTCAGCAGTGTACTTCCTCAGTCTGCCTGTTCTCTTCTCCCCTCTGGCTCTGGTGAATTCTCTCACCCTCCCGTGCTTCTGACTGTGCCCAGTGCTTGTATAAACAAATAAATAAATCTTTAAAAAAAAAAAGAGAAGTTGCAGCAGAGAATCATAAGAGACTACCCTGAACACTCTATATGCTGATAAATTGGATAACAGAAAAAATAGACAAATTTTTACAAGCATACAACCTTCTGAGACTAAATAGGAGAAAAATAAAAAAACTATATGGACAAATTACAAAAGAAATTTGAAATAAAAATCAAAAGTCTCCCAAAAAGCAAATACCTAGCACCAGACCATTTTACTAGTGAGTTCTACCAAATTTTCAAAGACAAACTAATATCTGTCCTTGCAAACTCTTACCAAAAATTGAGGAAGAGGGAATGCTTCCAAACACATTTTATGAAGCCAGCATTATTCTGATATGAAAAGCAGACAAATACATATCAAAAAAAGAAAACCAATATCCCTGATGAACATAGATACCAAAATCCTTGACAAAATCTCAGAAAACCTTCACTTGTAGGAGGAATATAGGGAAACCAAGCAAAGAGTCAGAGGGGAAAAACAAAACTAGCAGGCAAATTATAAATCTGAGACATATAGCAGGGGAGGGGGAGGGAGGAGGTCAAAATGGGAGGGAAGAGCACAAGGGACTATGGTGAGGTGGTGATGGGAGATTTATGGGGATTACACCAAATTCAACAATACATTAAAAGGATTATTTATCAGGACCAAGTGAGATTTATTCCAGGAACTCATCCAAAAATTGCTGTGTAATTCACGTCAACCATAGGAAAGATAAAAATTATATGATTATATCAGTAGGTCAGAGAAAGCATTTGATAAGAGTCAGCTTGCATGTAGGTAGTACTATTAGGCAAGAGAAAGATTTAAAAGGAATTCAAATTGGGGCCTCCCTGGTGGGGCTCCCCGGTGGGCCTCCCTGGTGGCGCAGCGGTTGAGCCCTGGGTTGCGAAGGTGCCCGCGGCCTCTGCCGCGCTGGTTCGATCCCCGGCTGCTCCCGGGCCACAGGAGGAGGGTCCCACATGGCACGCAGACCTCTCCAGCCACCCGCTGCTCCCCTCAGCAGTGTACTTCGGTCCTTCTGCCTGCTCTGCTCCCTGCTCTGGCTCTGGTGAATTCTCTCACCCTCCCGCGCTTCTGACTGTACCCAGTGCTTGTATAAACAAAACAAACAAACAAATAAATAAATAAATAAAACATGCCTCTATTAAAAAAAAAAAAAAAGGAATTCAAATTGTGAAAGAAATGAAACTCAGTATTTGCATATGGCATAATAATATACATAGACCAAGAACCTGAAACTTTTCTTATATATTTACTGACAAAAGTTTTGTAGTTTTTCCTTCTTTTACATTTTTGCATGATCTTTTTTTTTTTTTTTTTTTTGAGGTAATATTGGTTTACATCATTGTTTGTGTATTAGATGTATAGGATCCCCCATTCTGGTGTGGTTTTAATTAGCTTTTGTGAAAGGTATGAAGTTTAAGTCAAGGTTCACATATTTACTATTAATATTCAATTTTGGTCTCCCACCCCATTTATTGAAAAGACTGTCCTTCCATTAGATGGAGTTTCCATCTCTGTCAAACATTAGTTGAACATATTTGTGTGGTCCATCTCTGGGTTCTTTATTCTATTCCATTTATTTGTAGGTCCTTTCTTAATGCCAGTGTATGTTCTCTTTTACTGTAGTTGTTTGTAATTTTTAACATGAATACAGTGATTCTTTCCACCCTATTTTTTTTTTCAAAATTGTTTTAGTTATTTCTGGTAACTTCCCTTTCCATATAAATTTTAGAATAAAATAGTCTTTATATCTGCAGACTATATCAGGAAGATTTGAAGACTCTGCTATATTGAATCTTTAATTTGTTTCATCAGCCAATTATTTTTTCTGCATACAGATCTTATACATATTTTGTTAGTTTTTTTTTTTTAAAGATTTTTATTTATGTGTACAAGAACTGGGGTGTAGGCCAGAGGTGCGGAGGGGGGTGTGAGAGGATTCATCAGAGACAGAGTGGGCATCAAAACAGGCAAATCTACTGAAATACACTGTTGAGGGGAGCAGCGGGCGAAACAGGGAGGTCTGCAGCACCATGTGGTTTAGCTCTCTGGCCAGTGATCCAACTCCTAGGGAGGCCCCGTGTTTTGTTAGATTTATACCTAAATATTTACAATTTTTTGGAGCAACTATAGTTGATACTGTTTTAAATTTCAACTTCCCCTGCTAGTAAATAAAAATACAATTGTTTTCTATATGTTGATTTTATATCCTAAGATCTTGCTGAATATACTCCCCAGAATTTTTTCTTGAAGAGTCTAGGCCACACATTTTGTAGAATTCTGAATTTACTTGTTTCCTTTTTATGTCATGTAACTTGGTACTCCATCCCACATATTTCCTACAAAATGAAACTGTTATATATAGTGATTAGATTCAAATCTAATCAGTCAAACTTGATTAGATTCAAGTTTGGCAAGAATACTTTTTGTTTTTAAATTTTGATGAGACATTTATAAAGTCCTTATACTAAAATTTATATTTTGTTTTTTGGGGAGGGGCATTTATTTATCAATTTATTTTTTGCTATTACGCTATATATAAACTTTTTCACTTTTAAGTCTCACACTGCTGTAATTCTGCATTAGCTTACAAATTGGGAATAATGTAATTTTTTAATTTAATTTGTAAGGTTTTACTTAGAAGAACCTCCAGGAACACAGAAGCTTTATTTGGGAAGAACTGCCCCACCATCCAAAGTGGTCCACCTTGGAGACAAGGAACAATCGAACTGGGCAAAAGAAGTGCAAGGAATCTCAGAATAGTGAGTGTCATAAAAAGTATTTCACATCATAGAGCTAGAATCTGATGTAATGTCCTTATTTTATCCTCTCTGACTTTTTTCCATTTAATATAGTAGTCATCCTGAATACTGACTACATCTTCATTTTATACTCTAAAGAAACTGATGAGTTCTAATTTAAAATAATATCTGATTAGCAACAGTTACAGCCTTGCCCTATTTGTCACTAGAATGCTTCATGAAGTTTGGGGGGAAAATGAAAACAAAATCACTTAATACTAGGAATAACACTTAAATAAATTTTAAGATGGATGACATGGGTTCTTTATGAAGATAGTGCCTCTATTTTAACAACATGAAATACAGCTATCACTTAGCTTATGGATTTGAAATGGAGAAGATGAGCAGCTCTTAATTGTTGCCTTCTATTTTTTTTGCAAAGTAGATACTGAGTGTAGCTATTGAGGATAGTAGGAGAGAAAGGGATTTTTGTCTTTGGTTTGAATAAAGTAGAGGAGGTTTGAAAATAGTTCTTGGGGACTATGTAAGAGTATCAATCGAACAGAAAAACATGGTAGAATTATAGGCAGTATTAACGTCCTTTTTTGAAGTTAAAGGTCATAAATTTGTAGCATTCTAACCTGTCTTTTGGTAGTAGAGCTCAGTTGATCACTCATAGTCCTAGAAAAACTAGATAAAGTTGAATTTAAGTAACACTGGATTCTGCTGGGTAAGTACAATGAAAAGATAAAGAGGCAAGATAATTTAGGATGGTAACAGGAATGCCACTGAAATGGTATACGGTGGATTATAAAGACAAGTGAAGAAAGTAGAAGATTAATAGTTTGAGAGAAGGTAGTAAAAGGGTCAGTGAACTAGAGATCTCAATGGAGTTAAACTAGGATAAGGAACAAAATGGTTGAACAAGCAATTTGAAAAGAGAAGTTTTTAGGTAATGAGATATTTAAATTAGTGGTTTAGGAGGTGGAAATGTTATGGATAATGTTAACATCCAAGTCATAGCCATGGGAATAGCTGCCTGAAGTGAATGGAGAAGGTTATTGAATACAAGAAAGTTGTGAAACTGAGGTACTTGTTCTTAGGTAGATCATATAGGTACATGTTGTGGTCATTCTGGATAATGGTAGATGTAAGGGTAAAATATAAGAGTAGAGTAGTTTAGAACTAGGGATTTGGATGTCACAATGGATGATATGAAGAATTACCAACACACTCAGCCCTAAAGTATGTGGTATGAACACAAAAAACTATTGCTTATGTGAGCTACATAAGAAGTAGTGGTACCTTAGGTTATGGAGATTGAGGATATTGATATATATTGATGGAGTAAAGGTTTGGGAATTAAAGGATGGGGAAGAAAAATGCAAAGGATTACTTTAGAGATATTATGGAGAAGATGGTAAGCTTAGAGGATAATGTGGAGGAGATCTCAAACACGATCTCCCTCAAAACAAGAAATGGATCAACATAAAACATTATTTTCAGTTGTGAAAAACAGTGTGACTGTTAATATGTAGAATTAATTATTAAGTATTAACTCATTTTACCAAGAGAAAGTTAAAAGATATTTGTTTATAATTTAGAAAATCAGAGAAATATAAAATATTTTTTATTTAATTCAAAAGTAGCCCTTAATAGAAAATGTAACCAAAATTTCTAAGTTGCAAATGACTGGAGAAAAAAAACAAGTGAAAAAACAGAAGTCAGATAGAAAGGCAAAATAAAACATAGTTTAGAAAACCTAAAAAGAGAAATAAGATGACAGTATCATGATCAAAGAATTATGTCATTACATCCCCTGCTCATGGATTGGAAGAATTAACATTATTAAAATGGCCATCCCACCAAAAGTAATTTACAGATTCAATGCTATTTGAATAAAAATCTCAATGACGTTCTTCAAAGAAATAGAATACTGATGAAATTCATCATGTTTACTGATGAAAACAAAGGAGAATGGAAGTATCACATTTCCATCCTTCAAACTATACTACAAAGCCATAATAATTTTTTTAATTTAAATTTTATTTTTATATTCCCCATACAATTACAACCCCCTTATTTTGACCCCAATCCCTCCTCCCCCTCCCCCAGCCCCCATAGAGTGTCTCTGGTTCATAGTTGTTTGCTGATTTTGATATTTTCTTTCTTATAGTTATTATTTTTCCTGGTCCCTTATTTAAGTTTTCTAGATTCCTGCTATGAGTGAGACCATCCAGTATTTTTCTTTTTCTTTCTGACTTATTTCGCTGAGCATGATCCCTTCCAGCACCATCCATGTTGCTGCAAATTGCATGTGTTCATCTTTTTTGAATGCTGAGTAATATTCCATGGTGCATATGTACCACATCTTCTTGACCCAGTCATCTATTTTTGGGCATTTGGGTTGTTTCCAAAGCTTAGCTGCTATAAACATAGGGGTGCAGGTGCTCTTTGGAATTGATGTTTCTGTGTCCTTTGGGTAAATACCTAGGAGTGGAATTGCTGGATCATATGGAAGCTCTATGTTTAGTAGGTCCAGAAATCTCCACACAGCTCTCCACAGTGGTTGGACCAGTTTGCACACCCACCAACAGTGCAGGAGAGTTCCTTTTTCTCCACAACCTTGCCAACATTTGTTGTTGCTAGTTTTTTTAATATGTGCCATTCTCACTGGTGTAAGATGGTATTTCATGGTAGTTTTGATATGCATTTCCCTGATTACAAGTGATGTTGAACATTTTTTCATATGCCTGTTGGCCATTTGCATTTCCTCTTTGGAGAAGTTTCTTTTTAGCTCTTCTGCCCATTTTTTGACTGGATTATTTTCTTTGTTGTTGCTGAGTCTCATCAGCTCTTTATAGATTTTTGTGATCAGTCCTTTATCATTAGTGTTGTGTGCAAAAATGTTCTTCTAGTTGGTGGGGTTTCTCTTTGTTTGGTTATTGTCTCTTTTGCTGTGCAGAAGCTCTTTAATTTGATGTAGTCCCAGCTGTTGATCTTTGCCTTCACTATCACTGCTTTGGGTGATGTGTCTGTAAAGATGTCTTTGATGTGCATATCATGTAGTGTTTCTCCTATATTTCCTTCTATGTATTTTATGGTTTCAGGTCTTATGTCTAGTTCTTTAATCCATTTTGAGTTGATTTTCGTGTATGGTGTGAGGTAGTGGTCAAGCTTCATTCTTTTGCATGTAGCGACCCAGTTTTCCCAGCACCATTTATTGAACAAATTTTCTTTGCTCCAAATGCATATTCTTTGCTCCTTTGTCAAAAATTAGTTGACCATAAATCTGTGGGTTTATTTCTGGATTTTTTATTCGATTCCATTGGTCTATGTGTCTGTTCTTGTTCCAATACCGTGCAGTTTTGATGATTACAAAACCATAATAATTAAAACAGTGTAGTACTAGAACAAAAACACACATAGACCAATGGAACCGAATCGAGAACCCAGAAATAAACCCTCATGTATACAGACAACTAATCTTTGACAAAAGAGCAAAGGAACAAGGACAATGGAACAAGGACAGTTTATTCAATAAATGGTACTGGGAAAACTGAATCACCACATACAAAAGAATGAAAGTAGACTACTACCTCTCACCATGCACAAAAATCAACTCAAAATCTTTGCACACCATACAGCTGATAAGGGACTGATCACAAAGATATACAAAGAGCCATGTGACTCAACAAAAACAAAGTAAACAATCCAGTCAAGAAATGCGCAGAAGAATTTAAAAGACACTTCTCCAAAGAGGAAATACAAATGGCCAACAGGCATATGAAAAAATATTCCACATCTCTCATAATCAGGGAAATGAAAATCAAAACCACAATGACATACCACCTTACATCAGTAAGAATGGCACATATCAAAAAACTAGCAACAACAAATGTTGGCGAGGATGTAGTGGAAAAGGAACTCTCCTACATTGCTGGTGGGAGTGCAAACTGGTCCAACCACTATGGAAAGATGTATGGAGCTTCCTCAGTCCATTCCTAGGGATCTACCCAAAGAACACAAAAACATTGATTCAAAAGACCACCTGTACCCCTATGTTTATTGCAGCACTATCTATAATAGGTAAAACCTGGAGACAACCCAAATGCCCAAAAATAGATGACTGGATCAAGAAGATGTGGTACATATACACAATGGAATTCTATTCAGCAATTGAAAAAGATAAACTAATGCCATTCGCAGCAACAAGGATGGAGCTGGAAGGGATCAGACTCAGTGAAATAAGTCAGAAGGAAAAAGAATAATATTGGATGGTTTCACTTATAGGAGGAATATAGGGAAACCAAATAAGACATCGGGGGAAAAATAATAACAATACAAAATAAAACAAAACCAGACAATTTTAAACCAGAGACATCCTGCAGGGGAGGGGGAGGAAGAAGGATTGGAGGGAGGAAAGAAGGAGCACATGGTACTGTGGTAATGGTGCATGGGTGAATTGGTGGAGGAAATTTATGGGGACTACACCTGAGGGAAAAAAGGCATTTTTTTTTTAAATGAACAATGATGTAAAATATATACATATATATATATATAATTTTTTTTTAAAAGACAATGATAGAAAATGAAATAAAATTGATATGGTTAGAAACAATAGGAAACAAATATTAACCCATCAGTATATTAAATAAAAACAACTTTCAATCCCCCCCAAAAAATTATGTCATTAAATCTGTAATTATAGCTTGTTAAATAAATACAGAAACGCTTAGGTATGTCACTACCATCATAATCCAATAGACAAATGACTAGAAGTATACCTAAAACCAAATTTAGTAATACCTGAAGTATAAGTAGTTCCTCACCATCTGTAGTTGTCAGAAAGTACATTTTTATATTTATATTCCAACTATTTGAAAATCCAGGTTTGGTTCTATTCAACCTCGTTAAAGAACACATTATCAAATGTACTTGAAAAATGCAGACTGATTAAAAAAAAACACAGGAATTGCAATTAAAAGTCACACAAAACTTAGACTGTGTTTTTAAATGTC